ACATCAATCTGTTTGGATCTTGCACACAAACAAAAAAAGAGAACAATCTAAACAAATAAACATCGACAACTGAAAATTTATAAAATTACTGAACTTATAATCAATTTGGGCTGTTGCAGCCATATTAAACATATACGTAAGAGAATTAAGATGTACGTCTTTAAAAAATGCAAAAATTGGTTTAACTCTAATTTCATGAGGCATTTTATTAAGTTAGTGATTTGAGGAAAGAATTTTTGAACTGACACAGCTGATGAGTTTGACCCACCAGGATGTTTGTAGCGCAGAAGCCAGTTAGAATACATAATAAAAGGTGGTGTCATCGTTTCATGGTAGGGCGGCGGTGGACAAAAAGATCCCCAGAGGACAGGAGGAGCAAATATTCAATGTGAGAAAGAAGCATAAAGCTAGTATGTGATATAATACTAGTACACGAAAACAGGCCCCCGGGATCATGAAACATCTTAAGCTTAAGACAAAATATAATATAGGGATGCTTTTCAACACTGCATCAACAAACTGTTGTCTGCAAATTAAGAGTTTTAGTACACAAGAAATAAACATTTTAAGGGAGCCGACTGGGGTTTTATTGTGTGAAAACTACTATAGAGAAACTTTTTAATTTTATACCATATGTACCTTACATTGACTTCATTATACATGCCAAGTCTAGTGAAAATCTACCGTCTGGTTATTTTTTAGGGACCATCTCAAAATACAGGTACATTTACTATAGGATTATATAGGAAAATACTATTTGTTCGCACTTCGGAGCAAACTATACAAGTGCTACTGTAGACGTTTTGCTCAAATTATATTATTTAATGAGTAATACTATATTGTACATTTTATGCAAGAAACACAAAATTCTGCGGTCTGGTTTCCAGAGGGGCATCTCAAAATGTCAAAATTCATGATATTTTCCTGTTTTTGTGGATTTTTAGAAAACAGGAGAAATATCACAAATTTATATAAAAAATAATAAAACTGATTATGAGATTCTCAATTTCCTATGTTTAAATTTCAAGATCATCTATTTTATAATTTTATTTTGTGACATAATTAATGATCCCTCTTAAAGAACTTTGGTTATTCAGAACGTCAAAACACATAATTACGAAGTTTATCTACCCATCATTTGAAAAATCGTTTAAAATATCAGTTATTTAAAAACGTAATTAGATTTTTTTTTCACCTGAGATTTCCTAATTTTGTTAATTTTTAAAAATTATATAAAAATATTTGCTTTAAAAGAGTAAATAATTACGCTTTATTTTACTATGTTGCGCAATGTATTGCGCAATGAAAACCCCAGTCGGCCCCCTTAAAAGGGATTAAAATTTTGACTTGAGACTAAGTCTGTTTCATGGTCCTAGGACCAGGTGTATTAAAATATAATTCTTATATAAAATCCTGTAGGTTTGTCCTGTTATTCAATTCACAGAATTCACAGAGAACCTAAACATTAGGAAGGTTAGTGCAAGATCGTTTCCACAACTTCTGACAGAAAATGAAATATGTTCATGTGTTTAAGAATCACCCAATTTCCAAGATTCTTTAGGTGGTAAAAAAAGAAGAGAAGCCTTAATGAAGCTTAAAATACCCATGGATAGAACTCGGATGCATCATTTTGATTTTGTTAAGAATGCAGTTCAGTCACTGGAAATACGAAGATTCTCTCAGAGAAGCCGAGTTCCACATAATCCAGAAAACATATGTATGTTCTTGTTGTTCTTTTTTTTACTTGGGTGGTTTTGAACTACATGTATGCCATGTTTTATCACAAATTCAAAACCTCAGTGTAACAACCAAAGGAGTTACTTTAAGAAATGAATGAATTTTGATATCTTTTTTGCAATGTAACAGACATCCAATAACTACCTTTATTTTACGTTTTATGTAATTTGTTATTTTAAAATAAGGACCGATCAGTTATAAGAGAACCAGGGACTATTATTCGTTTTATCCCAATGGGGACATTATTTTGGATACATCCTCCTGTTTACATGAAAATCAGATAGAAGTTTAATATTTTATGTATAATGTATGATTATCTCAACATTGCTTTAAAAGCTTTGTCATTTCGAAGACTATATCAGCTTTTAATCTTAAAGGAATTATGTCATGCTCATCATTTAAATCTTTTGTCTTTCAAGGAAACTTTCTTTTCAAAGTTTAAGGTAAAGAAGGTTTAATACATAAAGCTACATTCAATAACTTTTGTCGGAGAATCCGCTGCCAAATTGGTTTTAAACTCAGCCTGGTGCGTTCCCATATGTTACAAACGTCATTGTCCAGAATTGACAACTATTCATTGCTATTAATGCGTCATAAAACATAGATAACATGTGTTTGAAGACTGTTGCAACTTCACAGTTTTGTAATTGGTTGACATATATTGAATGGCAACACTGGACAAACGATATGTGCATATATTATAATAATATTTATAATGTTGCATCCTAAGTTTTGTAAATGTAAAGAATTCTGTAATTACATTATGATAAATGACATTTGTTTCTGACCATTAGTTAGCATATCTTTTGTTTATGTTCTTAGAAAAATCGATTTACTAAGATATTTAGAAATATTGTTTGACAGGTGTTTTCGATTTTTATCTATATATCTTTATAAGTAAACACCGCATTGACTGATAGATCCAGGTAAATTCTGGTTGTCAAAAGGTAATGTAATTATAATGTTATTTTGTTTAATATTGTGAGTTTCTAGTCGTGTATACTTAATACTAGATTCTATCTCGTTTGCTTAATGTTTTCTCCCATTCGCTTTAATTTGTACTATAACGCCAATCGTTTTGTGTATTCTTTCTATCTTACACCGTTCCATTGACTTCGTTCTTCTTAATTAAAGTCAAAATGCATTTGTTTCATATAACTTAAAATGAAAAAGAAAACGTTCATGGAAGCTCAATCGGGAGAGCTCTCGCTCCGTGATCGGGAGGTCGTGAGTTCGTATCACCGCCACGACTGACCTAAGTCGATAAAAAAATTGGTAGCAACTGTTGCTTCGCCATACGATCGGCACTTTGAAGTGAAAGTCGCTGGTGACCTTAAAAACCGAGAACCGTGTCACGACAGGCGTTTGCACGATAAAGATCCCTCACTGCTCAATGGCCCTGAGTGCCGAGTAAAGGTCAAATTTAACCGAAAAGTGCAAGGGCAAGTCAAACAATATTTGAACTGCACAATGTTTCATTGTGTCCTTAGTATCTATCCTATCGTAAAACTGATTCTCATTCAGTCAGATTTCTGAGATATTTAAGTTATTCATTGAAAACAAACACCAGTATTCAAAAATAGGGTATTTTTCATCATTTAATTGGAAGTTTTAAATTGCCTAATGAATTACAAAGAAATGAGCATCACTTTTTAAAAACTATACAGAAAAGTAAAGAATTTAAAATAAAAACCTACCTCTTGGGTTGTCGCCTTGCCCTTGCACTTTTTGATTAAAAATTGAAATCTTAACACATTCATTCTAAAAATAGTTTTTAAACGCATCATTGACCTAGCATGGGAGATAAGTCTGTGGTACTTAATAGAGTTTGTGAACCTCGCAAATTTTGAACAAATAATACCTACGAACTGTGCTGGGCTTTATTTCATTAAATCAAATCGGTATGCTTAAAAAAATTCTTGACTTTACTTTGTTTTGTATATCTTCGTTCTTTTATACGCTACACAAGACGTATTTGACACCTACTGCATTTCCTCCGATCGTCAAAAATAGGCCTAAAATTAGCCGCAACATCTATCATGTAAATCAATTGGAAAATGCCCATGGTTAAAAGATTCAATAACTTGTAGTAAACAATAGACAGCCCCTATCAATGATAAAATATTTATTCTCCCCCAGCAGACACACAGAAAAATATCTCCAACAGAACTTAGTTTGATTTGTTTTTTTACATATGTGATTATTTTAGTTATCAAACTTCAACTGTTTAGGGATTCTAGACTACGTTAAAAGTTTTAAGAACAGGAGAAAGGGATTGGGGAGCTTACTCCTGCATTTAATAACCTGTTTTCCTTTCTACAGATCTTTGAGTTATTTTTTGAGTAATTATCAATCCATGCGCAAACAAGATAATCATAGTAAAACTTTGTAATCAAGAAACATATCCTCTGTTAAAGATCAGGTGAACACAATATACATGCTGAAATTTAGATCTTGTTGGTACCCAAAAACACAGACAGGCGCGTAGCCAGAATGGAAGTGAAATGTACGCAGAGAACGGCTGGGGTCCGCTTTGGTCCAGGGCGAAGCCCTGATGAGGACCCATGGGCGAAGTCCCTGGAAGCTCATGGGTTTTACCAAATATTTCATTCAAAATCATGCCATTTCGATTTTCTTTAGAAAATACAAGACATAGTACTTAATGTTGCTTTTTAACACAGTTAAATACTTCCGTGCAAATTTATTGTACATGTAGAGGCTGAATATTTTTTAAAATGATATATTGGTAACATCTACTCTTTTTTAACTCTTAGCAACAAATATAATTAATTTCAATTATTAACAAAAATAATGTTATATTTCAAATCATATTCTAGTGGATCACAGCATTCAACGGTTGATATTTTCTCAAAGATCTTTAAAAATGTTATCAATGAGTTGTGGAAGAATTACAAATTAATAAATGTTTTATTTGGTTGTGGCAATGTTTAAATAAAACATTACAATTTTTTTTATAAAGACCTGGCAATATAAAATTTGAATTTGAATCGAAACAGTATGAGATAAAATAATTTGAAACTCAACTATTTGCTGGATGGTATTGATATTTTTTTCTCTTCTCACCAATCTCTCCCTTCCCTCCCCCCCCCCACCCCTCCCATTTTTTTTTTTAATTTGAAAACGATGTGTACACATCTGCGTATAGGCAGCTACGCGCCTGTCAGAATATATTCAAGTAAAGATATTCAAATCTTAACAGCCTTCAAACTTTAACACCATTGTACTGTTAAAAATTCAAAGTATTATTTATCTAGAAAATTTATTTAATTAAAAACAGCTTTTCAAATTCAAAGGCAGGCTGTGAAGGGATTTCTGAGCAGGTGCAAAATATTTCAAACAGTCCACAGTTCAAACAGTTCTTCTGGATGAAATCAATTCTGAAAACAAAATGAAATACCATTATGGAAAGTTCATTGGTGTTTTAAAAAAGTGATACTCAAAACAATGCATTGAGTAACATGGAAAGCATATACATGACTCTATTGTTTTTATTCTCAAAACATTTCAATAATCTTGCTAGGAATATGTATGGTTTATATCTTATATGGAGCATACCTTTTTATTTTATTGGTGGAAACACTTGCTGCCTGAATGAGTTCTTCAAATTGTTTGGGAGTAGCTACAACACAATATATATGTAATGAGTGAATAACATAATGATTACTATTGCATTGTACAAAACAAACCATGCTATACTATACTTTCTGAAATTCATAAAATAAATGGAAAAAAAAAACTTTTGATACAAAACTTTTCTGGGATATCGAAACCTATGACATTTGCAAAAGTAGAATTGGTAGCTATACTTAATTTAAGTAAAAAAAAAATAAAATCAATACTGGTATACTTAAGATAACATTTATAAAATTTATAGGGTCTTATACTCTTGTAAGTAGAGTTCACATACATTGTACACTGTGCAGTTTGACTTCACAAATACATTGTAAGTGTGACTGCATCTAAATTATACTATTTGATATCATGACGTGCTGTGCTTATATTATGTTACATGTTTGTACATGTATGCCAAAGGACAACATCATTGCATGTTTAAAAGTGTGTAACTTTCATAATGTGTGTGTTTTTGTGTATGTGTGTGTGTGTGTGGGGGGGGGGGGGTGTTACACACAAGGCACTACATTGCAGTTTGTAATAATACATCTTATTGTACATATTCACGGTTATTTTACATCGATGTAAAGAATAGTATGTCTGCATGTTAATACCTATGCACATACACACCTTAATGAACAGAAACAGACCTAAGGAGGTAGTGCGGATCGTCTCAGATTTCCCGAAATAACGTCATCATCTTCCCATCAAAAAGATAAACAAGGCCCAGGTCTCTTATTTTATCCCTATTCTCTTTAAAGATTGTCTGATTGTTGCATTTATCCACTGGATATCCCATCTGCTGTCGCCACGTTTTTAGATGTATACAACATTCCGTGTCACCGAGTGCAAGCGCTTGGCTGAAGCCGAATGCAGCCAAACGACACAAGAAAAAGAGAATTATTTCGAAGACGTGTTGTTACTATATAAGAGAAAATCACTAATGTTTATTTATTTAAACCTGAAAATACAGACATTCATTACAAATTCTCGCAATCAGCATTAAATAGCTTATTTGAGCTCTATTTCCTTATATGGATCTATCAAGGCGGAGCAACTGTCATGACGTCAAACCTCATTATGACCTCATTACCATATTATCTTCATGTGTAGCCTTAACTGTACTGCGTAAACGAAATTTAATCCCATCGAATGTTTCTGCCTTTACAGTTAAAGCTAGGAATATATTAATGCGTAATCTCGTGAAGCATCACTAGTGAAATACAGTAAAACTCGGATAAAGCGACCTTTGAATTTACTTCGCTATATCCGTAATTCGTTATATCTGTATATCGAAATCATTAAATCATATACTGTATAAGTAGATATTTTAGCGAAGATTCAATTTTAGCATTTTTAGCGAGGGTTGTATGATCGCAAAAATAAAATATCGCTAATAACTCTTACCGCATGGGGGGGGGGGGGGTACCATTATATTTCTAATTTCATAAAATCGCTAAAATTAGTTTTCGCTAAAATTATATATTGATTTTTCATAACAAATCACTTAATTTGCATCCCGCTGAAATTTCTATTTATACGGTATGACGAATTCGCAGTACATGTTCTCCTTTATGTATGAATGTTTGTTAAACAGATACGACATCATCGTTTCACCCGCTTTGCGCAGTGGTTAGAGCGTTTTCTCTAGAGTCGCGGAGTAAGGATTTGATCCTTTCGTCGCGGGTTCGAATCCCACTGGGGGACGTAGAGAACGGTCCTTCGGATGAGACCCAATAAACCGAGGTTTCGTGTCGCTGTAGATGCTGACATGAAAAAGATCCATCACTGTTCAATGGCCTTATGTACCAATTATAGGTCTAAAATTTACAGCCCTCCACCGGCAAGTGAATGCGTCTCAGTATGAGTGAAAAATTCTCGAGATGGACGTTAATAAAACAAAAAAACAAAAAACAACATTCGAGATGGAAGCTATATTGGATGAAAAAGGTGAAAATAACAAAAGTAATAGATCTCAAAACAATCAAAAACAATACAAATCTGTGAATAGGGTATAAAACACAGGCCCCTAGAAATTCCAAAGTTGGAATCAAGAGCCTTGGAGGAGCAAGAATCCCCTGTTGACAGGTCACACCAGCCGTGAGTCGTATATATGTATCACATCCGCAGTGAGTCCTATATAGTGATCGGGTAGACGGAACACTACGTAGTCAAATTCAAAATAAAAACATTGACCGAACAATTGATATAAAACACATTAGTCAAATAACAACTCAAGGATACGTTATATTTGCTAACAAGGTCATTATAACGACCATAGAATTTACGAAATGCTGACATGAAACAAGGTTGTTGAAATCCCTGTAAAATAACCTTATCTGTCAGTAGCCTGTGTAAGATTTTGAAACGTTTATTAAACTACCGTGATCGTACAGATTTTCAATGCTTTTTCTGAAATTTCATCAGAATAGACAAATACACTGGTTATAGCAAAAGTTTTTAAGATCGGTCCAAATATTTCAGAAGAGCGTAAATCTAAAACTCCAAAAGTAATAATTAAGGTGAGATCCAAAAATTACAGTCCAAATTGTAATCCAAAGAGTCAATAGATGCCTAACAAATGGTCGAAAGAGAGAAGGATAGAGTAAAAGAATAGAGTGTTAGAATGCCATTTTCCGGCAATTCAGGATATATTGTGCTCAGATGGTATTCATGGTCCTGGATATAAAAGTACTTTTCATTGGCTGACTTAACATTGGCATGCCACCCACGCTTTGTCCGTAGGTCTGTCCGTTGTCCTATGAACCCCAACATGATTCAATACGGTTATACCTTCGTAGATAATATTTATGGACTCAGTCTCCTTCTCTGCACTACAGGAGTTCTAGCCCTAGGCTCTTTTACTTATCTGCTTCAAAGTTCCCAATTTCATTACTCTTAATCAAGAATCTTAATAGTAACTTAACATTTCCGTTCAAAATTTTCGCTGTCAAACTCAATTTCTGGGGGTACTACATACTGAGTTTGTCTTAAGGTGCGTTCTCCAGAATTTTGTCGAATTTCCCACTCATTAATTCGAGCATGATGAAGGTGCCTTGCGTGAGCTTTAGTGGTGGTATTATTTAACTGATTTTTAACAACAAAGCTGTCTGATCAACAGTGCGGTAATAGGGTACCCAGCTTACCAATCCTACTATTATTTGTCAAATAAACAGGGTCAACCATTTGAAAAGTTTCTTCTTTACTCCCTTTATCGGCTTGTAATTTCTGTTTATATTTTGCTTCTTTCAAATTTCTGTAAACATTTACAAATGCCTTATGTTGCTGTTGAATTGCAATTTTGTGTTGATCACCCACCAAATACCTCCTTCTGGGTTTCAATATAGTATCTAATGGTAAAACCACATCCCTGTTATACAATAGATAAAAAGGAGAGTATTTAGTTGATTCATTGGTGTGAAATTTAATAGCAACTAGTGTTTGGTTAAGATAAAGATCCCAAGTTTGTGTGTCTTCTTGAACATTTTTAGCCATTACATCATGCAGAGTTCGGTGAAACCTTTCTACCTTCCCGTTACCCTGTGGATTGTAATAAGAAGTAGTAATGTGATAAATATTCAATTCCTTGAGTGTTTCTGCTACCGCCTTATTAACATATTCAATACCATTGTGTGTTAATAGCTGTAAAGGACACCCTTACCTTGGAAAGATCTCGTCCAAAATTATATGTACTATATATTGTCAGCGGACTTATCTGAGACACTAAATGCTTCCGGCAATCCCGAGTAAATAATGAAACGATGTACTTGTTTCCAGACAAAGTAGTCGGATATGGGCCAGATAAATCAAGCGCAATTTTTGCAAAAGGATAAGGTGGAATTTGCGTCTCATGCACCGGAGGTTGACTTTTTCTAGCACTCCTAGTCTGACAAATAACACATTGTTCTATAAAACTGATTTACTTTTTATATAGATTAGGAATGTAGTATTTTTGTCGGATAGCATCATAGGTCTTGTCTACAGCCATATGCCCTAAATTGTCAAGATATTGTTATTGTTTAAGAGTAAGTTCTTCTAACTCTGTTGGGATAAATAATCTCAATTTTGGTGACTCTGAATCCCCATCTGACAAATAATACAGCAATTCATCAATCTCTATAAATTTCTTGAGATGCTAAATATTGGCCATTGCCTATCTCGACGATGTTCTTATTTTTTCGAAAACACCTGAAGAACATCAAGCCCATATAGAGGAGATATTTCGGAGAATTCGGCAGCATGGTCTTAAATTAAAATTAAAGAAATGCAAATTTGCAAAGTTGAAAAAAAAATGATGAGTCAAGATTAAATATATGTGGATGGGGGTTTGAAAAGTATTGAATGTATGGATTTCTAAGGTGCATTAGAATCAATATGAATCCGAAGATTGATTAATTAAAACACAAAATGTCTAAAACGTCTAGAATCAGAATTAGAAATGAAAACTTAATCTGTAGAAATATGGGGTTTAGAATTTACAGTAAACATTTAAAATAAAATTGGTACCAAGTTCTGGAAAGAGGTTTTACATAATTGGGTCAAAATCAACTCTGGTAGCCAAACAATAAGCAAGTTCTTCATGAACATATATGATTTAATCAAGTTTTAAATTGAACAACTCGTCTATATTTTAAAAGTTACTTTAATTCAGTTTTTGTTTTTGTAAGTGATTTGTTTGACTTTGAAGGAAGATTGGTAAACTTTGAGTGCCTCACAAATCTAAATGTAAAAACAAATTTTGTAGAATATGTGGGATGAAAGTAGTAGTTTTAGAAAAAATGAAGTTAAGATATTGATAAAAAACGAAAACAATGGACAATTTATTCCTAATTCGCTTTATATCCTTTTTTTAACAAAAACGCAAAAGGCTGTAAAGATATTACAAATTTCTCAATAAGAAGAAAAAGGAAACAATTAAGGCACAAAAAAGGGAAAACTAATAGAATATTTTTTAGGATGCAGACTGAAACAAAATTTTAAACTTCTTTTAAAGTCACTAAACATGCAAACTTTCAATGGTTGCACTTTCAGATTTTTCACATGATTATCGTAACAAATGAATACCGCTAACCTCTAAACTCAAATTAATTGAATCACCTGCATGGTCTTTTGCAAACAAGACAAAGAAACAATTAAATTTTTATTTTCTGAATATACCTTTGGAAAAAAATATGGTGCCATATTGAAGGGTTGTTTATAAATGTCAATCATATACGGTACCAATTTTGATGCACCAGATGCGCTTTGCGACAGATTATCTCTTCAGTGATGCTCATGCCGAAAGGTTGGAAATCCAAATATTTAAATAAAAAGGAATTTGAAGAGCTGAAAAAGTTCCAAAGACTGGAGCCAAATACGTCGAAGGATCAGAGTTGTGCATGAGGGAGATAGTCCTTAATTTTGAAATAAATTTCTAAATTTTACCACAGCAATTAAATATATATCCGTATTATTAAACAAATACCGAAGTACTTAACTACTGGGCTGTAGAAACCCCCTGGTACTAACAGTCCTTCAGCAGAGGACTCGACCCAGGGGTCATAATGTAATATCATATACGGTACCAATTGTGAAATAAATTTCATTTTCAATGAAATTTTATACAACTAGATTGGTTGACTGATTTCTTTTTGTTCGATTCGAGAATAAAGTTTTTCCTTGGATTTTGAAAGAAGGCCTCCTCATCACATTTAAGTTGAACGAAATTATTTTTACTTATGATTAATCAAAACATCATAACATGCAAACAGTGTTGTGTTTCTTTTCTGTTGTAAATCTAAAGAAATTGTTATTCTGTGTTCAAGAAGTCAAAATAATTTGTTATTTAATGAATTATCCTCAACTTTATTTAGCAAAAAAAAAAAAAAAAAAAAAAAAAAAAATCAATAATGAAAGCTTTCTTTTTTTCAGATCTTAAGTAAAGGAAAATGCCGACTTGCAGCGTCCTGCTTTGTCTGATTTTGGTTCTCAATTGTTTTAATTTGGAGAGTCATCTTCCTGTGCAAGTGAGTATTTTATAATAGATTCATTGCTTTCTAGTTCACTATAACAAGATGAAATTATGCTATACAATAGGATTGAAGGTTCTCCAGGTTGAAGTTTAAGAAACATGTCCTTTCCCAGCAAACTGTAATTTCTACTTATTAATGTTTGCTTGGATGGTGCCTATAGAGATCACACGAACCATACTTGCTTCAGATGAAAGATTTTACTTAATTTTTTGCGTTTGATTGGAAAAGGTAACAAAATGGTAGGTATTACCATTACTTTGACCAAACGTTCGATGATGATACATTTAAACCTTCAGAAATGAAATATGAAGATAAAGAGAAGTATACAAGCTCAAAGTCTATTAGACAATATAAATCGGGAGCAGAGCAAACAGGGACCTCCAAAAACATCAGAGGTGGGATCAGGTGCAATGGAGGAGTGTGCATCCCCTGCCGAGCGGTCACACCCGCCGTGTGCTCCTTGTCATGATCGGGAAAAAACGGAAACATCCGTAGACAATTCAGTGTGTAAATAATGGCCAAACAATTTGGTATGACAAACGTCAATCAGCATTTGACTTATTGACAGGTTGTTTTGCTACCAAGGTCATTGTATCGATCATAAGATGATGACTTCAAACGAGACTGTTAATATCTTTGTTTTATCAACTTGTTTGTCAATAGCTTGCCTCGTTTTGGACGTTGTTCATACGTAGAGCATGCCCTTGTGTATCGAATCAACTGGGAGACAAACACCCCATATTCAGTTGATAAGGGTAAAATGCTACATAAGTAAGGGAAGTTGAAATATTGAAGTCATCACGTTTATCAAAAAGCTTTGTTGTTAAGTACCATAAAAGTTTTTTTTTCTAGTAAAATATCCAAATATGAAACAGATGTGACAGACTCTGTGGTATCTTTTATTTCCAGCTCACTGGGATATATCGAGTCGACATATGAATAAACGTAGCTATTGTTAATTGATAATACGTCATCGATGTATCTAAATGTCGGATTGAAGGCCACAGTGTTTTCTTCTCATGCAGAAGTGTTTGAATAAATTCTGCTTCATATGAATACAAAAAAAGGTCTGCAAATAAGAGGGCCCAATTGGTACCCACTGGAATTCCAACAGATTGTTGAAAGACCTGATCTCCAAAAACCACATAGATATTGTCAATCAGAAACTCAAGCATGTTTTTCATACCAACTTCAGAGTACTTGTACTTGAAAATATCGTCAGACCTGTTAAATATTGCTCATCTATAAATTGATTTGAAAATAATTTGAAAATATAAACACTAACAAACTGTAACAAAAACTACTAAAATAATCTATAATTTGTTATAAAAAAACAACTTTGATCTAAAAGTTATTCACCATTGCAAATAAAAGTTTTTCCTTTAGTAAATCAATGTATTTTTACTATGAATTTCAAATTGTTATATTTTATTTTCTCCACGTTCTCCATGCATTTTTTTATATCAGTAAGAAATACTTCTTGTATATTAACACGTTATTTCTAAACTTTTCTTAATTGATGTGCAATTAAAGAGGCATTAAGGCCGTAAATCAAAAAAAAAAAAAAAAAAAAATGGGATAAAATTTCTTAGCTAATCAAAGTATTAAAGTTATTTTTTGTAAATTACAGTAATCTTAGTTTACTATCATAAATTTGTTTTAGGAAACCCTTGACAAAAGTCGGGCTAGAAGGCTACCATTTCATTTGGTCCCGGCTTAGGCTGGGAACCAAGAAGACAAAGACCTTAAGAGTAGGCTTAATACCAATATTATAGGATTTGCGACTAGTTACATCAAATTTAATACTGGAGATTAATTTTTGGAAGATATTGGAATATTTATATTTTTGTTTAACAGATACTTGTAACACCCGCAATATATAACTATTAAATGATATAATCAAGAGGTTGTAATTTTTGAAAGGGAAAATGACATTCTCGATTGAATTCGAATTACATGAAATCACTAAAAATAGTTGCGAATACAAACGGTCGCATCAGACAGGCGGTCGTTTAATACAGATGCAATATAAAAAGTTATATATTTAGGGGTTCTTTCTTTATCAAACTTGCATTTATGACGTATCTATAGACACTACAAGACTAGACATGGTTGTTTGAGATAATCTTTATTTTCAACATTTTTACAGCATACAAAAAGCCATTAGGTGCATTTACTGCAAAGCTCTCCAAGGGTACAACATTAAGTGGTCACGAGGTTGTCAAGTACGATCATGTGCTAACGAATTTGGGCGGAGCTTACAATCCAAAGTCTGGAATATTCATCGCCCCCTATGACGGTCTCTACACCATATCGGGTACACTTATGAGTCAGCCATCAAATAGTGTACATTTGAGGATTATTAAGAATGGGCTAAAGATGGCTATACTATACTCTGCATGTAAGACGTATCCTCAGTCTGGACAAACACTCCATCTGCTACTCAATAAAGGGGATAGAGTCTGGATTCAGAAAGGCAGTTGGAAGATAGCAAAGCTCCACGACCACGGCTCTTATAATTTGTTTTCTGTTATTCTAATAACAGATTTCTGAATTTGAATTTGAATGATCATTTCAAATAAATTCTTCATAAGCATATTTGGATTTTTTTAAACTTTAATTCTGGAGATAACTCCCCTTTTAAACACTGAGTCAACAATACTAACTCAAAATTTTAGTTTTAGGAATTTATCGAGTCTGCATAAAATCCAAATTAACAATGATATTATAATTTATAAAAAAAAAATATATCCAGGCTTTTGAACCACCCTTGAGACATAGGTTTACAATTTTAATTTAAACGCAAGTAGCCAGATCTCGAAATAACCAAGATATATGGCTAAAAATTTATAATCTTTTCACTGTCAATAAATTGAATAGAGATAATAAATTAATGGAAATTCAAATAAGATCGAATCCTGAAATAATCAAGTTATGTGATCGTAATTAAACTCCCCAAACTTTTAAACTTTCCCTGATTAAATTTACCAATTAATAAATTACATAGTCATAATTTATTTTCTTCAGAGACAACAAATATTTACCAAAGTTAATGAATAACCCCAAGAAATGACGTTAACCCCAAAAAAGAGCAAAAGAGCAGACTGGTGACATACGGAAAAATCACCCCTTAAAAACCCTCGTAAGATATCTCATACGAAATCGTATAGATCCATACGGAACATTACGAAAAAATAAAAGCAGACAGTGTATCCGAAAAATACTTCCATCTAACTAAATAACTTACAATAAATATGTCACCGTAAAATAACATAACTTTCATTCATTCAATAATAAACAATAAATTATTTACCTTATTGCTGTTCATTTTCTTCCCAGATAAAATTCAAGGGCGTATAAAAAATACAGTGCGGATCCAGAGTAAAATAAACCGGAAGTATACCATAATGCAATGCCAAGATGGAAAAGTGTAAACAAAACGACTGGTAAGAAAAAGTACAATATGCAGCCAAATGAACCTGTTTACAACCGTAACACAGATAAAATATTAAATTACATGAAATATACATGTGACATTGCTTCTTCCATAAGACTAGGTGATATGCATTTTAAGCGATTTACAGTACTCAACACCATACATGTTAAAAGTAAAAATAGATCATCACGTGTTATATCGTAGTTTCAACACAAATACTCGTTTATATACAATATTACGCAAGAACGTGACTAGTCTTGATATGATTTGTAAAAATATACACGTACTATGGTTTCTCCTCATTTAAAAATGAATAAATAATATTTTAAATGCATAAATACACGTGTAATTAAAATCAGGGGTCATATGTTAAAAGTCAAAACATTACACAAGATTCGAGGATGATTCTACAATTTCTGTAAAAAGGCTCGGGATAAATTATAATCATGCAAAATATTTTTCTGTCAGATGTCCATGAATAACCGAGAAGCTGCTTTTCAAAGGTGTTATGAATTTTAAATGTATGACACCCCAGAGTCTGAAAGGGTGAAAGAGGTGAAGATAAGAAACAATGATTCATCTCATAAAATTCTGTGAGGAAACTGAATCGTAAATTTTCCAAACTTACAAACCTTTGAAAACACTTTACAAGAATACAAAATACGACCCCACGATAGGTTGTATTTAACGACGACGGACCTAATTCATTATGCAATAGATTTTTTATTCAATTTTTAATATATGAAGTAATGTGGCTTTTGGTGAGTTTAAATCAATAAAAAATCATATGGCCATGGAAGTAGATTTTTAATGGGGAGCGGTTTCAGAAGTTGGCAATGAAAATCGATAATTACTATAGAAAGTAATGGGAAATTGCCAGTGTAAGGTATACATGTAAGAGAGATCATTGAAAAAAGTTCTGCAATAGAATTTTTATTCATATTAAAGGACAATGTTAACAAGACAACTTACCAGCAAATTATGCCAAAAAATAAATGGGTCATCGGCTTAGATTTTTCAGGGGGCATGTTAAACTCAGGTGTAGGGCACATTTTGGGGGAAATTTTCAATGAAAATACTTTGGCCAAATAAATCATTTATTTATGAATATAATTCGAAATATTTACAATATTTTTTAATTTAGAGGAAACTTTTGAATATCTTTAAAAGAATTAAAAATGCATATTTTTTATCTTTTGCAATACATAATAAAGTCAATTTGATTCAAGGCATATGCACGGTTTTCTGCGCAGTGGCGTGAAATGTCGAATTAGGTCCGTCGTCCTTAAGTTCATAACAAGGTCATTAATATTAGCGGACTGTTGACTTGAAGCAGGATTGTTGGAAGCCCTGTATCATCAGCTATTTATCAAAATTCAGTCTCGGTTTAAAAACTGATCGTATGCAGAAAATATTCTTGAATAGACTGTTGAAAGGCCTTGATTTACGTATATATAACATACATGTAGATGCTGACAAGATTCAAGGCTAACATTTTTTTTAATAGCAATATCAAGGTATTTTTGTGCAGATGAAATATACGGAGATAACGAACAGTATTCAAGCTCAAAAGTCCATTAATCAATACAAAATAGGAGCAGAGCAAACACGGACCTCCAAACATCAGAGGTGGGATCAGGTGCCATGGAGGAGTGAGCATCCCCTGCCGACCGGTCACACCCACCGTGTGCTCCTTGTCATGATCGGGAAATAACGGAAAAATCCGTCGACAAATGTAAATAATGGCCTAACAATTAGTGTGAATAATTTGATAATTTTAGGAAAGGACCAACAGAGGAAAGGGGTATGAAATTTAAAATCCTGATAAAGAGCTAAGTGTTATTATAATCAGGTCAATATTTTGTCTGCTTGATGTTCACGACTAATTACCTTATAAGGAAGATTTTCAAGGTGATATGAATTTTCACTTTATACGTATGGCTAACATAAAGACACCCTCGAATTTGTATATTGGACCAAGGGGACACGAATTTTACATTTTTGGGTGAAAGAGTTTGCAGTCAGTGAAACTGAACATAAAGTTTGCCTAATACGTTCTATTTCCATTGGTGAACTCTTCAATATTAGAGGCTCGTTTGGTCAGCTGACTGGGAAAGCATGGCGTTGCGGATAATACAAAACATGCCAATCTCAATCCAATTTTAAATGTTAAATGTATTTGTCATTCCAATTAAAAAAATAGAAGAACTAAAAAACATATGTAAGAAAGCGAGAACCCTGAATGAAATATATGGAGATAACGAACAGTATTCAAGCTCAAAAGTCCATTATACAATACAAAATAGGAGCAGAGCAAACACGGACCTCCAAATATCAGAGGTGGGATCAGGTGCCATGGAGGAGTGAGCATCCCCTGCCGACCGGTCACACCCGCCGTGTGCTCCTTGTCATGGTCGGGAAATAACGGAAAAATCCGTCGACAATTCAGTGTGTAAATAATGGCCTAACAATTAGTATGAAAAACGTCAGTCAGCATTTGACTCAATGATAAATTGTATTTGCTGACAAGGTCATTGTATCGACCATAGAACTTACGAAATGATGACTTTAAACGAGACAGCTGATATTCTTGTTTCATCAACTTATTTGTCAATAATTTACCTCGTTTTAGAAATTGTACATACGTAGAGCATGCTCTTGCGTATCGAATCAACTGAGAGATATACACCACGTATGCAGGTGATGAAGGTATATTGCTGCATAAGTAAGGGAAGTTGACGATTGAAAAGTTAAAGTCATCACGTTTATCATAAAGCTTGGTTGTTAGATTACCATTAACGTCTTTTTCAAGTAAAATATCCAAATATGAAACAGATGTGTCAGACTCTGTGGTATCTTTTATCTCAAGTTCACCAGGATATATCGTATCGACATAAGAATGAAAATAGCCATTGTTAATTGACAATACGTCGTCGATATATCTAAATGTCGAGTTGAACGCCACAGCAAGTGTTTTCTTCTTTTCACGTACAAGATTTTGGACAAATTCTGCTTCATATGAATACAAAAAAAAAGGTCTGCTAATAACGGGGCGCAATTGGTACCCATAGGAATTCCAATAGATTGTTGGAAGACCTGGTCTCCAAAAACCACATAGATATTGTCAATCAGAAACTCAAGCATCTTTTTAATGTCAACTTCAGAGTCCTTGTGTGTACAATCAGGATGTTGTTTAACAAAATAATTTTGCAAATGACCAATGACAAGATAAGTATATTTACGAGTTCCATTTTTATTGAAAAGCAGCTGTCTATGATATCAAAAAGCCTGGACTTTAATTTATCGTGGGGAATGGTTGTGTATAAAGTTGAAAAGTCGTAAGTTTTTAAGCTGTTGATTTTGGTAAAATCTTGTGATTTCAAATTTTCCAAAAGTTCCTTGGAATTTTTAAGTATCCACATCTGATTTACACCACTTCTCGAATATATTGTTGCACAGTAATTTATCATCCATTATAAAAAATACGACATTTCCGAGGCATGTGTATTGTATTTAGATGTACCATACGATAAATATATACATATGATCAACAATAGATATAAATTGATATCGTTGTCATTCCTACTCTTGATGTATATAAAGTTCACAACAATAAAATATTTCATTTGCATTTTCTTAGGAATTGTTCTCGATGTTCAACATATTGTTTACATGTTTATGTTACGTTTGTCCCAGAAATCCCGCGAGATTTGTATATTTTCCGACTTTTTTCACAAATGAGCGCACCAGGAAGTATAACTCTTCCATTGTGGAAATAGAACGTATTCATGCCCTTCACAAAAGATTATCTTCAAAGATGAAATGAATTTATCAAATATGATCAAATTATCCAACCTAGGGAATGTACCATGATAGAACCCCTTGGGCCATAAATCTAGCAATTTTTTGAAGCCCTCTAATAGTATATACATGTAATAATCAAATAAGCACTTTGTCTTCTTACCATTCTTGATTAGAGTAAAGGATTTTCATAGATGAAATATGGAGATAACAAATTAAACAGCAATCAAACTTAAAAGTCAATTGAAACAAAACAAACGGGAGCAGAGCAAACACGGACCTCTAAAACATCAGAGGTGGGATCAGATGCCATGGAGTAGTGAGCATCCCCTGCCGACTGTCTCACCCGCCGTGTGCTCCTTGTCATGATCGGGAAATAAAGGAAAAATCCGTGGACAATTCAGTGTGTAAATAATGGCCTAACAAATAGTATGATAACATGAATATTCAACATTTATTTAATGATTAGCTGAAATCCACTCTTAAATAACACCATGTGAACCCAAGTGGTATATATTTGGGTTAATGTTTAGCCTCAAGAAGAGATCATGCAATTCACCTTTTACATTTCCTTAAAACTAAGAATGCTAAGCTAAATTGAACATAAATATCAAATGACGAAAACATGATATCTCGAATCAGGAATAAATCTCTAAAGAACTACGCACGCTAACACTTGATTCTCGCCTACATTTTATACCTATTTAATTCAGTATAAATGACATTTTGGCTGTTAAAACGTTTTTGAATGCAAAGAATAGTTGATAAGTGATTGATAACTTTAAAACCAGCGTCAAAATGTTAATTCCCTTTTTTTACAACTCTTTTCATAAAGGAAGTAGAAAACTCTTTCCACTGAAATCAGACCTTAAAACATAACCAAAATTTCAAATATGTACGGAAATGGATAAATGACCCTTAAATTTTTCCGTTTGTTAAAGTTAGTTAAATTCAAAGTATATGATTGATAAGTAAATTTTTTTACTTGCTATCTGGTTAGAAATTGGTTACAAAATGACCATTTTTACTGTTTTTTGTCTGTAAACATCAGTCTTCTCCCATGAAACACAAAAAGCTTTGGTATGAACTTTTGAAATATTAATCCATATTACCTGTAAAAAGGTATTTTTGTTTCACGGGGGGGGGGGGGGGGGGAGAGAGATGTTTTAAAAATATTTTCCGTTTTCCGTTGACTTCTATAGTGAAAAAAGAATAGTGTTACCCAAATTATAGAGTTATCTCTCTTTGTTTTCCCAAATAAGTAATGTTTTATGAAAATTCATATAAACATCTATATAATTATAAAAAAGAAATCATTCAAATGTGTTAACTTTTGAAAATTGATCAAGAGATAGGCGGGAGAACAATACTAACGTTTGCAGTTCTTCGATGGAAAATAGAGCTTTACGCATTTCCTTCAAATTGTGTGTGCGTGTGTGGTAAAATTAATTGATGAACCACTCCAATAACGTCCTCATCACTATCGTAGCACATACACAAATTAATTAGCATGTTAAAGGTATACATGTATTACTATTGTTAGGCGGATTAAAGGAATGGTAAAAGTGTTTTTTCTTCTGAAGATTGGCAATGTTTATCATACAGTTTTGTTTGTATGTTATCATTAACGTCTTTTTATAGTAAGCATCCAAATATGAAACAGATGAGTCAGATTCTGTGGTATTTTTTATTTCAAGTTCACTTGGATATATCGAGTCGATATATGAATGGAAGTAACTACTGTTAATTGATAATATGTCGTCGATATATCTAAATGTCGAATATATTCTGCTTCATATGAATACAAAACAGTTCTGCTAATAAGGGGACGCAATTGGCACCCATGGGAATTCCGACAGGTTGTTGGAAGACCTGATCTACAAAAACTACATAGATATTGTATCGTTTATCTAACAATTGAGCATGTTGATATTTTTACTTGATACATTATGCTTTAGGGCTGCTCTGTGACGCTTAGCGATATAATACATCAATCAATAGCGTCGATTAAGCATATGGTTGAGAAGGTCAACTATTACTGCAAAAATGGATGACATTTAGCGTTGCATTTGCAGCGTTTAATGCTATTTCTACCCTTAATCGGTGTTGTATCGTTAGTGGTTGCTACACTTTGAGATCTGCCTATGTGTTTATTCTATAAATCTATTTAAAGTTAAATCTCATTATTTATGAAAACATTTCAATTTATTCACAAAAATGGTTTTCAGGGATTTATTATGTGTACAAATACGTAAATGTAAGATGATGGCATATTTTTATTGATTTGGATTGCGCAGAATTTGTTTTATGGAAACGATTATAACCGGAATATTGATTACTAGAATAGACGTCATGATGACATATCAAACACTTAACATTACGAAATAGATATTTTATGTCTGCTTTAGCATTCACTGTAAACGAATGCATCAAAGGTATACATCGTGTTTTGCAAAAACTGAGAATGTGAAACTTTTAAAAAGTTTTTTTATTGGAAAGTTACATTTAGCATGAAGGTTTGATGTTAAAGCCTCTTTATCGCCTTTTGCATGATTAAGAATCATGTCATCTTAACAGGAATCCCCAAAACATTTGCAATTTCAATTAAACATAATTTATGCAATGCTTTTTAGAAAACAATTCAAATCCAGCTTATTTCTAATTGAAATCTTTACATGCATAAATGCTTTACATGCAATAAACATGAAATATCTCCAGAAATAAAAGTGAAAAAACAAACAAACAAACAAAGAAACATATATGCTTATGAAGAATTTATTTGAAATGATCATTCAAATTCCTTTTCAGACATGTGTAACATGTACTAGGATAACAGAAAACAAATTATACGAGCCGTGGTCGTGAAGCTTTGCTGTCTGTGGATTGGCGTTCTGTATCCAGATTCTATCCCCTTTATTGAGTAGCAGATGGAGTGTTTGTCCAGACTGAGGATACGTCTTTGATGCGGAGTATAAGAGAGACATCTTCTGTCCATTCTTATTAATCCTCAAATGTACACTATTTGAGGGTAGACTCATAAGTGTGCCCGTTATGGTGTAGAGACCGTCATAGGGAGCGGTGAATATACCAGACTTTGGATTGTAAGCTCTTCCAATATTCGTTATCACGCTATCATACTTGACAATGCCGTGACCTCTGACTGTCGTATCCTTCGAGAGCTTTGCAGTAAATGCAACTACTGGCTCTCTGCTTGCTGTAAAAATGTTGATGAAAACGAAGATTATGTCAAGCAACCAAAGCAGTATGGAAGCATATGTAGATGCATCATCAATGCAAGTTTAACAAGGAAAGGGTTTGCTGTTACTTCGAAATGAACTAACTGCATAAATTGTAACCTGTTATATATCACAAATCCAACAACGGTATTTACATTTATTATGTAAGACTTTATATAATCACTTTTATGAGCATTCCTTTTATCAATTATATTTCAGTTAACTAAATGACAGAAATTCATTCTGTTTAAAAATATGTTCATAATATGTTGTTTTTTGGAGAGTTTGTCTTTAATATATATAGTAATAGTTCCATTTATTTATCTTTGTATATCATTTTAATTCTGCTATTAAACAACAATCGAGAAACATGCGCAGACCCCCCCCCCCCTGGATCTTCAGAGTTATTAAATTTCTCTGTGAAAGAAAAAAATGACCTTCAACCCCCCTCCCCCCCCCCCCCCGGAAACACGGATATCTCGTTAAATGAATGAAAAATTCCAACATATGTTCAACATATGTTTTGAGGATCATATATTAAAAATATGTTGAACGTGACTTGAACATATAAATTTTCCACAGTATGCTGTTAGATAATTTGGGCTCACTGTATCACTTGATAGTAACAAAACAATTTGGTTAAAAAACAATAACTGTAAAAAAAAGTTGATGGAAAATTTTGTATTTCTTTGTTTTCCTTCAAGAAATGAACATAAAAATAATAACCATAAACTCTTTAAAAACTATTATCCTTTATGATGAAAGTTGTTCCTAATTTCCCTTTTTGTACGTACAAATTCATCAACTAACAGTATCATGAACGTAAACCAGTTGTCGCATTGACACAAATAAATAGTAATTGTTGTTTGTATCAATGTTTTACTGAAACCAGTTGTGGCACCTACGAAATTACTTTGCTAGTTATTGCCGTCTTAAATAAAAAAGTTATAACTTAAAATAAATTTTAATTAATTTCTTTCTTTGTATATTATGTACGGAATAAATGTATGCCTTTGAACACTGCGGAAAATAGGTAACTTGTATATAGAGACCAACTGGCAAATGTGACCCTTGTTTTCTTTCTCCGTTGGAAAGCCTATTCATAAAGGTTTTATTGTATTCCTTGATACATCATCAATGCATGTTTGGTCACAATCATAATTTCCTGTTTCTTCACATTTTGTTCACCTGTTCAATCCTACCCAGAAAATGTAAGTCAAATCCCGGACCTGAAGCAATTGTGATCATTATGAATCTCTACATGCACCATCCATGCAAGTTTTCTACAAGTAGGAATTAAAGTTAGTTGGGAATGGACATGTTTTCTTAATCTTCAACCGGGAGACGGACTCCTACGGTATAGCAGATCTCATTTTCTTCGTGGTGAGTTAGAAGACAATGAATTAATAGTATACTCAAGAGACCAGGAAGACAATGAATTAATAGTATACTCACTAGACCAGGAAGATGAACCCTCCAAGCAATTCAGTACCAAGATCAGACAAATCACCAAGTGGTAAGTCGGCATTTTTTGCTAAAATTTGGATCTAAAAAATTGAAAGCTTTTATTATTGTTGATATTTTTTTATCTTGCAACTAGATGTTTCGGAAAAGTCATTCATTCAGTGACAAAATATTTTTGTCTTTGTGAACGCATGAAAACAATTTCTTCTGATTAATAAAAGAAAGAAAAAAATGTCTTGTTCGGAGTATTATTTAGTAATTAAAAATAGAAACGATTTCGTTATGTAATGAAAACGCCCTCTTTGGGAATCCTTGGGAAAACTTAAATCGTCGTATCAGACAATTGTACATACAAAATATAGATAGATATAAGAGACGATAAAATAATTTGGTCACCTTCTGGCATTAGATGAAACCCTGCCATTCATTAACTAAATAGTAACTGAATGTTTACTGAATAGTGATTGAATGGCAGAGCTTCAGTCACCTTTTCAGACCTTTCAGTGAACATTCAGTTGACTGAATGCTAGAGTTTCATCCGGTTTGTTTGTTTGTTTTTTTTTTTTTTTTTTTTTTTTTTTTTTTTTTGTTTTTTGTTTTTTTTTTTTTTACACTCTCTTCCAGAGATGAACTAGAAATGCTCAACACGATTAAATATCTCAGATTTTAGAAGTACACAATAATTTATTATCTCTTACACTTTCACACATTTTAAAATAACTTTTTGTTACGGTGGTAGAAATACCATTCAATAAACTAATATTTCTCGAAAATTCTAAATACTTCTTAAGTTGAAAACTTTCTTATATCAGTCACATCACCTCCGTTGGTGATGGGTTGTATTGATTACAAAAACAAGATACTTATTCAGCATTAACAATTCACGATCTACCATCCTTGAAAGTGTAGTTGCAATTGTTTTCTAGGCAGTAAGGTTAAGGCTGGCCGAAGATTTAAAAAAAAAAAAAAATAATGCGTTCAAAATATGTAAAATTTATGCACTCAAGTACATCAAATGATGTAGAGCGTTCTCTCGGTTTTATAGTGATATCACATGACGTCATTAATCACATGACGATAAATTTGATATATATCTATATTTATACTTATGAATTAAAAAAAAATTGCAAATAAACTCCGGAACACCTGCACCAAACTTCATACTTAATCCTCTGATATTCCACTAGGTACGAGATGACGTCCGTAAACTATATGCAGATTTCTTTCGTATACTTACTATTGTAAATTTACTTAAGGGTCTAATTTTATTTTCGATGTATAGCCGTGAAATAGCAAAAAAGAGAGTATGGTGGTTGTTTAGATTGGCGGATCTAAGTAACTGATAATTTTTAATGAATCTGACAACAAGCAATTTATTATTTATTTGATATAACGTCATTCATGAATCATTCAATGAAAACTTTATTTAAGTGACACAGAAGAAATAAATCATGATTACTAATTATAAAAAAAAATTGTGCAAATCGTTTTCGCCAGTATCCGATCTTAGAATTATACGTCTGTATCATGATGGAAATTTCTAGAACTGTAGATGGCATCGAACCCGATGAGGCGATCTACGCTATATGAATGTAAAATGGTTTTTGATGTGAATGGCATGGAAATAGTTGTATAGCAAGTGATATCACTATAACTAGTGAATTATCTATTTATATATCGAAAGACTGTTAGAAAGTTGTGCTAATAAATTGACAAGTAAAATGCCATATTCACAACTGAGAGCATCGTGGCAACGAACCCGAAGTACAAATTGTATATTGTATATAGTAATAAACTCGCTAAAGAGAAAATGTCAATGAACATGATAAAATGGTAGTATTCAAATATTTGAAGTTAAAGTTGTTCATTCTAAATTTTCACAATTTACTGAACTTTTTAAAAATTTATGCTTTAATCAATATCTCTGCATACAGTCTTTTGTATTAAATATTAACCCATACATAAGGTGTGAAAAGCTATTTTTACCCACCACCACCAAACAAAATGTGCTGACAAATTCGGTATAATGTGAACATTCACTTCTTTTATCCTTGATGGAATAGGAAACAACTAGAGCACCCTCGAAGTACAATACGTATAACATATTACATCAGGTATCAAAATAAAGTTGCCAACATGTAAAAAGGAAATCGTCAATTACTGAAATTGAGATTTTAAAGTTACGGAAAAGGGGGGGGGGTATCTAATTCTGCTCCTAAATTAAGTGAGGGATTTTTAACTAATATTTCTTCCTGTTATAAGCCTGTAATTCACTGTCAGTAGGAACTATGATATACGAGGGTTGTTCGGAGAGTTCGCGGACTATGCAAATCTGCGTTATACTATCTACTAGAAATTTAAAATGAACACATTATCATATGTAAAAATATTTATTTTGTTAATGTGTGAAATTTCATGCCATATGATTCGATAGAAGTAATGTTATTGAATCTAAAATCAACACGTTTTGTAAACACGGAGCAAACTAAAAAACACTGTAGTGTCAGAAACATACCGTCTTAAGATTCTCAAAAACATTTTCCATATACATTTCACATAGTATCGCCAAATACCAGTGCATTTATTAAAACATTTCTCTTTCACTTGAAAACTATTTTCTTAATAATTGTTCCAGTAACATCATTTTATTTGTCAATGTTATATAATTATTTACTGCTTAATTGTGCTTTCACAAGATCAGCAACTGTGAAGCGCCTAACTCTTCGCATGACGTTACTAACTTTTCGATGTTTTTTTTTATTTGATTTTACAGATAATCCGTTTTCTCACAGATCACCATCTCTCTATCATTTAGATACCGCCTGTACTATGTGCACACATGCATGGCTCGCTTTTGATATAGTTCCTACTCCCTCTACTGTTTTCTGAGTTTTAAGGAGTACAACACAAAACTGCCAAAGTTTTACTTTGTGACATTCTACGCAGTCATCTTTTTTGGCATTTTTCAATGAGGATTACCTATCTTCTGAAACTGATTTCTTTTCAACGAAGCAAAACAGTGAGTCAGAATTCTGAACATAAAACGATGTAAAATAAATTAATTTGAAGAAGTAGGATTTTTTTTACGCTTTAATACCATTTGACATGTTTTACAAAAGTTATGACTTCAGACTTTTATTGGTGTTTTGTTGCAAATTACAAAAATTTGACCTGCCCCGTGATCCGATTTTCGCATTTTTTAAAGTTTGAAATAAATAACGATATTCTTAGAAAATTAAATACATGTCATTTGAATTCATTGTTGAAATATTTCTACCAAATTTAATTATAGCATAACGTTAAGTAAAAAAAAGTTACGATGGTAGTCCGCGAACTTTCCGAACAACCTTCGTACGTGTATTCCGGGAATGAGCCTAGAAATAATAATTCTTCTTCACCTTTATCATACTGTTTATTTCTTGCTTTATCATTTCATGCTTTATACCCTGTTCACAAATTTGTATTGTTTGTTGTTAAGTAAAGATCGATTGTAATCTTCACCTTTTTGATTCAAAGTCTTTAAAACTTTTATTTCAAAAAAACGATGACTAAGGGAAAGATGAGCAGATGGAAAGAATACGAAGAACGACGGAAGTTAGCACAAAGAAAAACATTAAGCAAAAGGCACAGACTCAGGTATTAACTGCACACGAAAAAAACTCAAAATTAATCAAAATCAAAATTTTCAATACATTACCTTTTAGCAACCAGAATTTGACTGGATCTATCTGTTAATGCACGGTGTTTGTTTCACAATATAATTATATAGATAAATAGCGCATTGGAAATCGAAAAAAAAACCAACAACCTGTCAAGCAATATTTCTAAATAACTTCGTAAACAGAATTTTTTGAAAGAACACATAACAAAAAGACTTCCTACTGATCAAAATACATGTCATTTATCATATTGAATTACGGAACTGTCACTCTACATTACAAAACTACGGTTGTCATATTATAGATATTATCATAATAAATGAAAAATAAATGTTTGCCCAGTACCTGCACTCAATACGTGTCAATCAATTGCAATATGTGTAAGTTGCAACAGTCTTCAAAAATATTTTATTCATGTTTTATGACTCATTTATCCTTCATTTAATACTAATGAATAATCGTCAAACGTTGGACAATCAAGTCCGTAACATATTATATCGCATCAGGCCTAGTTTGAGACCAATTTGCAAGTGAATTCTCCGAAAAAAGATATGAAGCTTATAGTATTTTTTTTTAACTTAAAAGCAAGGTTTTCGTTAAAGACAAACATAAAAAAATGAGAAGGACATGATTCCTGTAAAATCAAATGCTAAAATATTCCTAAACTTTTCAAAGTTTTTTTTTTTTTTTTTTTTTTTGTTTAATTTTATTAAAATAATCATATAGTATACATAAAATATCAAACTTCTATCAGATTTTCTGTAAAACCTAACAAAAAAATACTATAGTAAACTAGAGTTAACTATAGCTTACTAAAGTTAACTATAGTACCAAAGTAAAAACTTTGGAATTTCGATTTAATATAGTGAAAACGTTGGAACTTTGATTTACTATAGTGAAAACTTTGGAACTTTGATTTACTATGGTGAAAACTTTGGAACTTTGATTAAGTACGATAAATCCTGTGGAATTATGTTTTTGATTCCCATTCTTTACATTTTCTGATATTTCAAATTTAAGATTCATAAAAGCTTTAGAGAACATTTTAAAAACCCGACCCCTCCCCTTAAAGAATTATGTAAAGATATGAATTTTAATGTAAAGGTTGTCACTTGCGCCGATAAATAAGCAATATTTATTTCAATGTACTCAGTATTTAATTTTAATGTTATGCGGATGTAACGTAAGTCTTATTTATGAAGAAAAAAATATATTATAGAAAAAATTGTGTCATTTAGAATCAAAATATCTGCTTCATCAACTTCAGTCAACATGTATTTTTTTTTTTTTTTTTTTTTTTTTTTTTTTTTTTTTGAATTTATAAATGAAAATATTGCATTTGAATTAACAACTTTGTATATTTAAATAAAGATGTACAACAAAAACCAGCCCCAACCAACCCCATATCTACCCCCTCCCCTGA